TCACTCTTCACCGAGAGTAAGCACAAAAATGCTGCCTTAGTTCTTTTAGTGAGTTGTCCTCTCGTGAACACCAGGTTTAAGCAAGACTCTTTGGCCTTGCTTTGCCCTACCTTTAGATCTTAGGCCTCCACCTTAGATCTTCTTCCTTGGGCATTCGCCAGTACCACAAGGTTTCTACCTTGTCCATGCAGGGCTACCACGAACCGATTGAAGCAATCCATTCCAAAGATCACATCAAATCCCCCCATGTCCAACACGGTGAAATCCATGTTTACTTTCCATGTCCCTACTTCGACTCTCGCTTGTTGAAGAACCTCATCGGTGCTTTGGTTACCTTGAACAAACTCTATAGTCCTTGGTTCGCTTAGCCGCTACACCATTAGTCCGGCTTGCCAGATTATGTTTGCAACCACAAAATTATCTGAAGCACCCATGTCAATAAGGATTTTAACAAAGCTACCTCCGAGCTTCCCTCGGAGGCTAGTAGATGTTGTGAACGACTCTCTACCAAAGTTGCTTGTGTAATGAGTAACTTTGAGTTAGGGACTAGATCACATACCTTAGTTTGGACTTCACCCGACTTGATGGCCATATTGGCTCTGGCCTTCTTCGGGTAGGGACATTCCCTCGAAAAGTGTCCCGCTTCACCGCAGTTGTAGCATACGTTGTTTCCCACGCTGCTATACGACTTGACCTTTTTATCCGTGGGTTTGTCTCTTTTTGCTTGACTCCCCCACGTATTTGCTCGCTGGCTGCCAGATTTGCCTTTTTGGAAAGGACTCATTCTTAGAGAAACTCTTCTTGAATTTCCCTCTGCTATACGTCCCCTTGGATTGGCCCCTTTGCTAAGCGTGGACCACGACCCCATCGTGTTCCCCTTTCGTAAGTTATCGTTGAAATGCACCTTGATCGCCGCATCCAACATTTCCTTGTAGTTGGTTGGGTTCCAACGCATCACCTCACCGCGAGCCCAGGTTTGCAAACCTGATATGAAGGCATGGAACTCATCCATATCCCCCATGTCCGTGACAAGTATCTGTAAGCCACAAATTTTTCTTTTCCAATTTGCCAGCTTACCTCGTCTATTTGACCAACACTGCCTTGGCTTGTGCTAAGTTCCCTCGCCAAGGTTCCCGCCTATTGTACCAGCTCCTACTTGGTCCTACATGGTTTCAGCTACTCGCTGCACGAGCAACGAAGTGTTAGCCATCCATCTACGGATTCCCAAATCTCTCCCAATCCCCCTCCCCGGGTTAGACTGGACTTAAGGTTCGGCTACACTCCCCACAGCACAAGCAGCCAAGCACACCAAGCCTCCAGGTTCCTAACACCCCTTGGTACAACAAGACTTGATTATGGGACCCTCTAAATCCCAAGCCTTGGGTGCAACACTTGCTTCGGGACATCAGGGCGAAACACCGTGGCCTAACGGCTCGATATAGGTACCTCTACCACCCCACTTCCATCCCGAAGGGAAGGCCCAAGCCCCTAGGAAGGGCGAGGACCAATGAGCCACAAGGTACTCAAGTGGGGCACCACTCCACATGAGTCAGGAGCACCGCTGTCAGTTTCCCTTTCGGGAGTGGGAGCTGCTCTTGAGCACTTCCCTGGGTGGCCCCTCCGGCATCACCCAAGCCCATGCTCACTCCCACCCAAGGCCCCTCGGCCCCAGTCTCAACCTCAAGTCGGTTTGGAAGCCCTACTGGAGAGTTTTCAAAAATCAGTCCACCACCACGAATATCTCATCAAACTCCTTGCTTGGGGGGAGTCCCGTGATGAAGTCCATCGTAAGACATTTCCATTGACGATCTGGAATTGGGATGCTTTGCAACAAGCCCCCACTAGCCTTAGTCACGGCTTTGACCTGCTGACATGTTAGACATGTCTTTACATAGTCTTGGACATCCTTAGCCATATCTGGCCAATAGTACTTCCTTTTGAGTAAGCCCATCGTCTTGGGCACTCCACCGTGTCCCGCAAAAGGTCCGTCATGACACTCTTCTAAGGCTACCTTCCTTAGTTCCCCTTCTGGAACATACACCCTTGTTTGCTTGTAATAGATGAGTCCGTTGCGTTCCACATAGCCCATTTTCTTTTCCGTTGGTAGCTCACCTCTCTGGTGAGCTTCTCGTGCCTCTAGATTCCTTAGCAACACTTCTTGTGCTAGACCATCATTCTCATATGCTGTCCGCACATCGTCCCAAAAGGTTGCTGTCGCGCTGGATATCGCCAACCTCAAGCTCGCTTTTCGACTTAGCACATCCATCACGATGTTGCTTTTCCCAGGCTTGTACAGAATCTCGCAATCAAACTCGGCCAAGGCATTGGCCCACCGACCCTGTTTCCCTCTCAGGTCGGGCTGTGACAAGAAGTGTTTCGTTGCCACATTGTCCGTGTAAACCTTGAAGTGTCTCCCAAGGTAGTGTCGCCCTCCTTGAGTGCCTTGACCACTGCAAACAATTCCTTCTCGTGGGCAGGCCACTTCCTTTGAGCCTTGTCCAACTTCTTCGAGAAGAACACTACTGGATGGTTGTCTTGCTTCAAAACTGCGCCCAACGCAAAGTCCGAAGCATCCGTTTCTACCTCAAAGTCCTTACCAAAGTCTGGTAATGCCAACACGGGAGCCTTCCTCAACTTCCCTTTGAGGTGGACGAATGCCACCTCGCATTCCGCTGTCCATACCATCTTCCCTTTTCCTGTTTGGTCCGTTAAGGGTAGGGCTACTCTTGAATAGTGTCTGATAAACTTTCGGTAGTAGTTGCATAGCCCCAAGAACGCCCTCAACTCATGTACATTCGATGGTCGCTCCCATTCCTGGATCGCTTGGACCTTCTCCGGGTCCACCTTGAGCCCATCCTGGCGCACCACATTCCCGAGAAACTTTACCTCTTGTTGAGCAAAATCACATTTGCTCTCTTTAGCATACAGTTTGTGTTCCCTTAGTTTTTCAAACACCTTTGCCATGTGTTCGGCATGCTCCTCTAGCATCTCGCTATAGATCAGGATGTCGTCAATATAGAAGACTACGAAGTGATCCAAATAGGGTACAAAGATATGGTTCATCAATGCCGAAAACGTTACTAGCGCATTGCACAGCCCAAAGGGCATCACCAGAAACTCAAAGCTCCCATACCTCGTTTGACAGGTTGTCATCTTCCTTGGCTACCCTGATTTAGTAGTATCCTGACCTTAGGTCAATCCTCGAGAAGTATTTTGCCTTTCCCAACCTATCGAATAGGTCCTCAATCCTTGGCAAAGGGTACTTGTTCTTCTTTGTATACTTGTTGAGCAACTGGTAATCTATGCACATGCGCATAGATTCATCTTTCTTTTTCACAAATAACACTGGCGCCTCATACGGCGACTTGCTTAACCTAACATACCCTTTGTCCACCAACTCCTCTAGTTGGCACTTGAGCTCCTTGAGTTCTTTTTCGTTCAAACGATAGGGGGGATGAACCACCGCCTCAGCACCCTCGACCAACTCAATCTTATGTTCTATCGGTCGTGCAGGGGGCAACCCCGCCGATAGCTCCTCCGGCATGGTATCCTGGAATTGGTCCAACACCCGCTGGATCACTAAAGGTACTTCTTCCGTTCCTGTCTTTTTGTCACTCTTCACCGAGAGTAAACACAAAAAGGCTGCCTTAGTTCCTTTAGTGAGTTGTCCTCTCGTGGACACTAGGTTTAAGCAGGACTCTTTGGCCTTGCTTTGCCCTACCTTTAGATCCTAGATCTTCTTCCTTGGGCATTCGCTAGTACCACAAGGTTCCTACCTTGTCCATGCAGAGCTACCACGAACCGATTGAAGCAATCCATTCCAAAAATCACATCAAATCCTGCCATGTCCAACACGGTGAAATCCATGTCTACTTTTCATGTCCCTACTTCGACTCTCACTTGTCGAAGAACCTCATTGGTGCTTTGGCTACCTTGAACAAACTCTATAGTCCTTGGTTCGCATAGCCGCTGCATCGTTAGTCCGGCTTGCCGAACTATGTCTGCAGCCACAAAATTATCTGAAACACCCGTGTCAATAAGGATTTTAACAAAGCTGCCTCCGAGCTTCCCTCGGAGGGCTAGTAGATGTCGCGAATGACTCTCTACCAAAGTTGCTCGTGTAATGAGTAACTTTGAGTTAGGGACTAGATCACATACCTCAGTTTGGACTACACCCAACTTGATGGCCATATTGGCTCTGGCCTTCTTCGGGTGGAGACATTCCCTCGAAAAGTGTCCTGCTTCACTGCAGTTGTAGCATATGTTATTTCCCACACTGCTATATGACTTGACCTTTTTATCTGTGGGTTTGTCTCTTTTCGCTTGACTCCCCCACGTACTCGCTCGCTGGCCACCGGATTTGCCTTTCCGGAACCCCGAGGACTCATTCTTAGATAAACTCTTCTTGAATTTCCCTCTGCTATACGTTCCTCTTGGTTTGGCCCCTTTGCTAAACGTGGATCCCGACCCTGTCGTGTTCCTCTTTCGTAGGTTATCGTTGAAATGCACCTTAATGGCCGCATCCAACGCTTCCTTGTAGTTGGTTGGGTTCCACCGCATCATCTCACCGCAAGCCCAGGTTTGCAAACCTGATATGAAGGCATGTGGACTCGATCTTAGACCTGATCTCGAACTCGACTTCAGATTTGACCTTGGACTCGGTCTCAGACCCGATTTGGATATCGGACTTTGTCTCGAACTCGGTCTCGAACTCGGTTTCGGATTCGGCCTCGGGCTCGATCCCAGACTCTATCTTGAACTCAATCTCAAAGTCGGTCTTGGACTCGATCTTCGACTCGGTCCCATCCGATGAACTCTTTGTTATTTTGGTCATGCTTTCGGGGATCCTTTAGCCTACGACATCTCGGGGAGTCAGTTCCTTACATTTTCCTTTGGCCTTTCTTGTCCACACTAATTTATACTTCAATTCGAATCACATCACTCCAATCCACAAGTTCAAACACTTAGCAAATGCATGGTCAAGCTTCATAGTTGAAAGGAGAAGGAAGGAAGAGAATTGGAAGAGTTTCACATGTGTTTTGCTCATGTCTCTAAGCAGTTCTACCACTAAGCAGTTCTGTATTCAATTTTCTTGCTCACTGGTAAATAGTGGGGTAGTTGTGCGCTGTGTGGTTTGCTTAGGAGACCTCTGTTGCGGAGGGAAATATCCTGCCATCTCCAAGGAAGAACTTGTCCTTGAAGAAGAACATAAGGAAAAACATGTCTTGGTGTCTTCTCAGTAGAAGGGCGTGGTTTCAATTGCCATTTTCTTTGCTTGCCCCGTGGTTCTTTGCCTGGGATGTGTCCCTGGCTGGCACACATTTGTCCCTTGGAAGACACAAATATCCCTTTTGCCAATGTAGCTATTAAACGAGCTGGGGGAACTACACAGTAGCATCTCGCCTGCAAATGACAAGAGTAGAATGGTTAGCATTTTTCTCCAAATAGATTTTACTCACAGTCTTCCTTCCACCGTTCACGATCAGCATTCAGACGCATGCAATCTTCAAAGATCAACTCCACCAGACGCAAAAGGAAAAAGTTGTAAGCACCTCCCACAAGATATCATATACTTACATAAACTAGGTAGAGGATCATGTCGCAGAGCTGAGGTGGAAAATCTCTGTGCTTGCTTATAACTTGCTCGTCCTGGGGTGTCGGACCCAAAAACTGTCCCTTCCAAGCTCTCTGTGTTCTCACCGAGAAACGGGTCATGCCAGATTCCTTCCACTGTGGATTCTCGCACAGTATCACAAAGTTGCTGCTGAATTCCTTGCCAAAGACAGTGGCAGCGGCGTGGAGGAGCCGATCCCGTTCCTTGCTGGATTCCGCTGCTAGAGACTGGGCGTGCTCCACAATCGACTTCTTGGTCGTGAAGCAAAGTTCCAGGAGCATGGCATGGTTGCTCTGTCCTTTCATTGTCAGCATCCAGCCATACAGAAGCTGACCAACCAACACGCTTGCATCCACTGTGATAAAACCAGAATTGCGGTGGGATGACGAGTGCACGGAAACCCAGTGGTTGAGACGCTCGCAAATGCTTGCGTCCCATGATTCGTGTTCTCCAGCAGCCATGAGCTCCTGGACAAAAAAAAAACAAGCGAGACTTTTCGATTAGAAACAGCACCATCGTTTTAGTTTGGACGACTTGCCTCCAATATCTGCCGGACACCAAAGCTGACGTCCACAGACTTCCACTCTATCCGTGGGAGTTCATGGAAAAGATCGTTGCACCACTTGATCCACTTCAAACTAAGCGGCACGAAGCTACTAGCGTAAGTGTGTAGAAGCAAGAGCATGAGCTTGTCATGCTGCCCGGCACCGCCGGCTATGGCTTGAGCTTTCAAAGCGTCAAGCCACTCGAAGGGCTGCTTGATGCTTTGGTGCTGAAGCAGCAGCCAGGTGAAAAAGAGGCTACTCATTGGGTCGCTCACGTAGAAGCGGCGTCTATAAGGCAGATGTGGGGGTGGAGGGAATCCGTTTTGCGATGCTCACAACATCTGAAAAGAGAGAAAAAAGAGAGTTAATCTTGAAAGCTAGCACAGGAGAAAGGGAAGAAATGCATGCTTATGCCATTACTTCACTGGCTTGGAAAGTCGATTGATCGAGCTGCAAGGGAGAGTTAGAATCTGAAAAGGAAAAACTAGAAACGAGAAAAGCTCACCTCGGCAAGCCCGGTTACAGTGCAAAGAAGGGTGGAGAAGAGCAATCGCGATTCTGGGCGCGATTGCTGCCGCCAAGAACAATCTTGTCGCTGGCGCATGAAGTAGTCAGTGGCAATGGAGCAAGAAGGTGTCTGGCACAGGAGCGCTAAGAACACGAGCAATGGCCACACTTGAGCTCAGACAGAGTACAAGAGACTGTTCCGTCGGGCATGACATCGAAAAACCACGCCCCCGCCGGGCGATCTATCTCGAGCCCAAACCAATCGAACGCTGCCCTCACAAGCCCCACCAATCTGGTGCCAATGCTGCTGCGGAACCAGTCGGCCACACGATCGCCCACGCGCGGATTCCATCCCACTCCCGGGATCCTATCCTCGGGAATCATCATTTTACTAATAGAGAACCTACGAAACTCCTTTTATACGTCCCTTTTCCCCTTTTCCTTTTAGGGCCGCCCTAAATTTCAGGTTTGATGGCTGCATCTTGCCATTGCTGGATCCTTCAGAGCCTCCGCCGTCTTAGAAATACAGGAGTGTCCATTGCTTTATGTGCTGTTCACAAGGAGCATGCGAGGCCTAAAGGCTATATTCGAGCTTTTTTGTGGACCAAGATGAAAGGGACTTCCAAAATTCCAATCTCACTTCGCACTCTGACATCCATAGCTGTACTATTTATAAAATATTCTTTACTTGTTTATTTAGCGACAAATTCAAGTGTTAAGCAAACATATGACAATGATACTCACACACGCACCCATCTTTTGCTTCTTCAGAATGTAAGAGCCTAAAGCATCAGTGGAATGGTTGATTTATCTTGTGTATTTTTCCCGCTTTTCTGCAGAGGAAGCAGTTTGTCTAGGCTTGTGTCTCATCTATTCTAAAGTTAGAGCTTCATGATGCGTATTCAGTGAGTGTTTGCATGATGTCAAACTTTCTTTGTGGCTACTGCCTATCATTTTGTGCATTCGAGGTCAAGCCAGGACGGGCTTGATCAGGCTTGGACAACTTCAACTCAAAGTGCAGCTAAGATTGTTTAGTTCTCCTTGGCTTGCGAGTAAAGTTACACAAATTTTTTGATATATCCCAACACGCTCAGCCTGGAGTGGCAGGTGACCATGCAAAGTAGCGAGAGATGTCATTTGGTGACGATTGCGAGAGATGTGATTTAGTGAGGATCAGAGAATAAGTACATCGTGATTTTTCTATCTAGAAGTCAGATATTGACAAAGCTGATATTAGGTAGTTACGAGAAAGATTTGTGATGTTTTACTAATATAAATGTATGATTAAAAAATGAAAACACGGCAATCCAAAGTTTCCAATCAAAATTTATAGCTTCATTTTCAAAAATATATTAATGAACTAGCAAGGAATCCAGCTCTGCTGGCCTAGACGAAAATAAGTTTTTAATGATGTCTTACTAAGATAGAAACATTGTTCAAAAACAATCTTGTAAATCTTTTTAAAGTACATACATAACATATGAAATAAATTAATACATACTATATGTTGATTTTCATGATCTGCTTAACATTTTCATTTGTTAAAATATTAGACGAGAAGAATAATAATGAATTTTTTATAAGAGAAATTTAATAATAAATCTAATCTTTAAACTTTCCAAATAAACTAAATTTCTGACTTTTAAAATTAACTCATGTGAGGGCCAAGTGTACGGTTACAATGCCGTATACTAATATTAGCGTAGTGGGATTTTGGTAGCCGTCGGATTGGTTTCAATCTAGACCACTCGCTCCTGTATATAAGCTAGGGTTTTTGGGCTAATTGATATGCACATTTCTGTATTCCCTTTCCATATTCCAGGCGCTCACATTGGTGGAGATGAAGGGCACCTTTGATTGTCCCTGAGGAATGCTTGGATTTGGGATTTTAGTTTAGATCTAGCTTTTGCATTGTCTAGATCTAGCTTTTTCCATTTCCTTTCTTTTGTTCTTTCTTTTGGTTTAGATTTAGCTTTTTGCATTGTCTAGATCTACCATTTCCTTCTAGCTTTTTGTCATCTCTCTTCTTTTGCTCTTTCTTTTTTGTTCATCTTCATGGCAGATCAACAATCTCCTCCTTTGACTCTAGAGCAGCAGTTGGTACAATTGCTTGATGCTATGCGCTTGCAATTGAACAACCAAACTCAGTTGATGGCGGCGTTCACGGCACGTGGTACAACTCCTCCTGCTCTTGGTGCTAATCCTCGCGTTCGGCCGGAGTTCTTTCGCGGGAATCCTGGGGATGATGTGTACCATTGGTTCGATCACTTCACGGTGATTGCCACATATCATTCTTGGGATGATGCTCGACGTTTGCGTGAGTTTCCCACATGTCTCCAAGGGACGGCGTTGCAGTGGTACAATGGTTTGAGCGCAGCCACTCGTGGGGATTGGAGTGTTCTCCCGGACGTCTTCAAACGCGCCTTCGGACATGCCGATGATTGTGATGATGCTTTCCAACAATTGTATCGTCTTCGCCAAGGGCCATCTGAGTTGGTGATGCAATTTGGCGTTCGTTTCCGAAGTCTTTTGTTTCGTGCGGAGCCAAATATGTCGGAGCGGATCAAGCTAGGAATGTTGTGGCCAGCACTTCGTCAAGATCTTGTCGGACTTGTGCATGCACTTGCTCCTACCACCCTTGACGATGCTCTTCGCTTGGTACAACGTTATGAGACGTCGCCTCTTCCACTTCTCGCTGCACGTCCTTCCGCTCCACTTCCTATGGGTGATGTTCCTGTTCCAATGGAGGTTGATGCAGCTGCTGCTCGAGTCCAAGGACAAGCGCGAGGACGTGGTCGTGGCCGTGATGTTCGCTGCTGGGCGTGTGATGAAGTTGGTCATACTTATCGGCGTTGCTGTTGTTTTCCGGATTGGCGACCTCCATTTCCTGGGTGGAGACCTTGGCGTCAGCAACGTCCCATGGGTGCTGCTGCAGTGGAAGGTCTGGACACCGAGATGCATCTGGGAAACGAGGAGTCGCGCGAGTAATGGAGGGACCTTGCGCGAATAAATCAGTGACCCCTCCATCTTTCTTTCGGGAGTATCATCAAGGGGTTCACTCGGCACCGGTTCATCCCGTGTTTACTTTCCAAGCTCGTTTTTATAACAAGCGGTCTCCTATTATTCTCTCCGTGTTGGTTGATACAGGTTCGAGTTTATCTTCTATTGCTCGACCTGTTACCACACATTGTCGTCTACACTTGCGTCGTGCGGCGGAACCAGTTTTCATTCTTTATGGCAACAGCCGTACACATGCATGTGCACGGGATGAGGTGGACCTGGTTGTGCGTGTGGGCGATCTCGAGCTTGAGTTGCAGTCGTTGCGGGTGGTGCCGAGTCAAGCTTTTGACCTCATTCTTGGTATGGATTGGTTGTAGCACAATTATGCCAAGTATGACTTTGAGGCTTCTCCCCCTTGTCTCATACTTCCTTATGTTTCATCCATTCCTCTCACTTCCATACCTCTTCGTCCCTCTACTTCTACCTCTGCTTCCATTACTTTTGTTCCCCCACTCTTTCCTTTTGTGTTTCCATCTTGTTCTGCTTTTCCCTTTTCCGATCCCTTCGACGATCTTTGTGTTGCAGCAGTTGACCGGCTCATGAAGGAGTATTCTGATCTCTTTGAATTTGACCTATCATCTGGGGCCAAGATTGCCACACGTCATCTGATTCCAACTGGGGATGCTCGTCCAATCAAGGTTCCTGTTCGTCATCGGTCACCTAAGGAGATCAAGATTTTACGAGCCAACGTCAAGGAAATGCTGGAGAAGGGTGTTATTCGGAAGTCGCGGAGTCCTTGGGCATGTGAACCTCATCTTGTGACAAAGCTTGATGGGAGTATTCGTTTCTGCATCGACTATCGTCCGTTAAACGAAGTGACGATCCCAGATGTGTATCCTCTTCCTCACACTGCTGATCTCTTAGATCGTCTAGGGCGAAGTCGTTGGTTCACCAAGCTAGATCTTGCTTCTGGGTATTGGCAAGTACCGATGGCCGAAGAAGATATTCCTAAGACTGCTTTTTGTACACCATTTGGTTTGTATGAGTTCTTGGTGATGCCGTTTGGTTTGAACAATGCTCCAGCAACTTTCCAGCGGATGATGGACGAGGTTCTTTGCGATATGCCGGAAGTGACTGCTGACTTCATTGATGATGTCTTGATCCACTCGGAGGGGACGTGGGAGGAGCACGTTCATGATGTTTGTAAAGTGTTGGATCGGCTACGTGATGTTGGTTTAAAGCTGAAGCGGTCAAAATGCGTGTTTGGGTCCAAGGACACAACTTATCTTGGGTACCGTATTTCTCGTGAGGGTTTGCAAGTTGATCCTGACAAACTTGTGGCTGTTCTAAAGTTCCCTACTCTGAAGTGTGTGAATGATGTGCAGCGCTTCTTGGGTAAGGTGCAGTATCTCGGTCGTTTTATGGATCATCTTTCCGATCGCACTACACCATTGTGAGCGTTGCTGAAGTCATCAACGTCATCTTTCATCTGGTCTCCGGATTGTGAGCGGGCGTTCGTGGATCTCAAGGAGCTCTTGACGACTCCTCCGGTTTTGGCATATCCTGACTACACTCGACCTTTTATTTTGCGCGTAGATGCTTCTGACATTGGTCTTGGAGGTGTATTGATGCAAGAGAGCTCGAGTGTGCCTGGTCAGCGCCACCCCATTGCATACATAAGCCGTACATCACAACCAGCGGAGATGAACTACTCCACGACGGAGAAGGAGTGTTTAGCAGCAGTCTGGGGTTTCGAGAAACTTCATGCATATCTACATGGTTCTCGGACATTACTTGAAGGTGACCATGCTGCTGTTACTTCATTATTGAAGCGGAAGAACCTGGTTGGTCGTACGGCTCGATGGGCTTTGAAACTTCAGATATATGATTTCGATGTTGTTCATCGCCTAGGGAGTTCTATGGCTGATGCTGATGCCCTTTCTCGAGCTCCTCTTCCTTCTCCACTCACTTCTCATGTTTCTGACGAACCTGTTGTTCCAGCATCTGTGGATTTTCTAAATGAGGATTCTGTGCCGTCGACGGTTGCTGTCCTTGACGTTCAGTGTCCACAAGGCGCAGAGCAAGATCTACCTTCTCTTAATGAGGTTCGCGAGGCTTAAAAGATTGAGCCATGGATTCAAAGGCTTTGAGATGGGTTTGAGAATCCTGCATCACTTGCTGATGACTTGCCTTTCTGGCATTTACATTCTCAATATCGCCTTGAAGATGGCCTTCTTTATTTTGTGGGGACGGATCCTGATGATCATTTACGGCTTGTGGTGCCTTCGGTGTTTATTCTGCGGTTTCTCCATGCCTACCATGATTCTCCTGTCCTAGGTGGGCATATGGGACACCGTCGTG